GATTTTGACAATAGAACTTTGTCTTTATTCAGTTTGATTCCTTTTTTCATAATGTATGCAAATACCTATATATATATATATATATATATATATATATATATATATATATATATATATAAACAGACAGATCTCACCAGTTGCTTTCAATACAGCTTGTTTGAATTAATGCTTGCTGCCTAAGATATATTTGTTTTATTTTTTTTAGTTGATTTTAATGATATACATACACGCACAAAGTTGTGTCCAAGTACCAGAAAAATCAATAAATTTTAAAACTCCCGATACATGCAGACATTTCTCTGAATGTGGGTGTAAATTAATCAGTAATGCAGATATATACATAAGCACAACAGAAAAAGAAACTATTAATATTGACAAAGATTTATTTTCATCTATTGACATGCATATCTTTATAATGACAAGTTTTTTCTGCTGGTGCCAGGACTATGTGAGCTTAAGCGTGCTACTAGATTGGCATATAGGTCCTACCTGTTTACTGTTTAAATAGTTAAATGCAATGTCCGCTTCTACTCCAACAGTTTCTTTTCATGCACTTCCCACATGTGAAACTACCTTCCATTTCCTTGCTTTCCTGCTAACTACAATCTTCAAAAATTTAAATGCAATGTCAATCACCATCTTCTATCTTCTTGATCCCTGTTCAGCTTTTATCCTTTCCTTAATTTCCCCTTATATCCAGGCTTTTCTCTCACCTTCACTCTCTGTAACCCCCTGCATACCAGTGCCATTCCTGCCTTGCTTGAGGTGAAAAGATTATATATATATATATATATATATATATATATATATACAATGTGTATGTGTGTGTGTGTGTGTATATATATATATATATATATATATATATATATATAATATGCAAAATATATATTAGTTAATAACTATAAACTTCAGCCAAGCCTACATAATCAATAAATGTGAATCGATTGGTAAGTTGATGCATAATTTGAAAAGGCATGAAATGCTATTCAGAATAAAGATGGTTGTAATATGAATAAGGGAACGCGATTAATACTCACTCACACATACATACATATAGTCTGTGTGTTTACATAAAGGTGAGTCAAGAAGTTAATAGCCTGACATTTTGTAGCTGAATTTTGATCTGAAATTTTCATTGTATAGTATTTCCCTTAAGTATTGATGATTCATCATTGACAAAGAATGTGATTATAGTGAAAGATATTTTTTTGCAAGACATGAATGCTTTTTTTCATTAATAGGATATGGACCTATTGATGTACCTACATATCTAGACATACACATATATATATGGATGTGTATGTGCGTATTGGTATGGTTATAAATATTTATTAAAATTTATATAAATGCAAGTGTCTATATGAATAACCTTTTATATATGTACGTATGTATACTTACTATTATTTTGAATAATTTCTACTGGACATTTTTATGAGTTATGTCAATATATATATATTTTTATGATTAAATATATTGCGTGCACACACATACACATATATATATATATATATATATATATATATATATATATATATATATATATATATAATGTACACTTTTGTAAAAATTATTGCAAAGGGATTGTATACAATATCCGGGCCTCCAGAGTCATAAACCTCAGTTTGAGAACCACGAGTGTTGTCAGTGCTACTCAAGCATTTAATGGTTCATCCAGTCTCCTGCAGGAAGTCCAGGCACCATTTGTCATAAAGAGATTTCTTCTTTCTCATTCCTTACTGGAAAGCTTGTTACCACATCACATTGAACTCATAAAAGACCAGTCTTGTTTTCGTGGCTTGTCTCCTCATCCCCCTCCCACACACACACAAAAAAAAATAAATGATAAGTCGGATGATTAATTGTGAAGTAGATTAGTAAAGAACGAAGCAAGTGTGGTAGAGAATAATGTGGAGAAAACGAAATGTGAGATTTTTGGTCATTTTTTTTTTTGTCTTTCTTTTTAAAGAATGGTCATTGGTTCACATTGTATTTTTGTATAACTTTGGTTCACTTTTGGGATTATGTCCTGTCTTCGTTAGACATAAAAGACAAAGAAAAGAAAACGTCATAAAGATTCCCCAACAATTTCTTCCAAAGACATAATTATTCCTGCAGTTTTGTGAAGCAGATGTCCCATTGCCTTAACAAGAGTCTGTAGAGAATAAGACCAGAACATTAAAAACCTATATATGCAATTTATTGAACTGAGCTGTTTCCAAAGATTTTCCAGATGCCCCCTCCTTTGGCTGCCAAACGGTATTCCTTGTCTCAAATGCCCACATATACAATGAATACACACCTATTTTAGTAGGTCTACATTGCAAATTAAACTGAATAAACATATTTCTTTACCAATATGAAAGGATAAACTTATTTCTCACTTGCAGATATATTGTCTTCAGATTTTTAATGAGAGAGATGAACTTGATGCAAACATCAGCTTTTTGATATGATAGTTATTTGCTTTGTATATCATATTTCACAAAACCACAACTATGGGGTACCCAATGAGGATCGAACCCACTACTAATTATTTACAATTCCAGCTGGCTGATCATTACAACATGATAACAAGCGGGTTGCAGACACCAAGAAAAAGTCTTAGATCCCAATGTTTGATAATTTACATTTTTTTTTGTCTTGTAAAGAAGCTGGGAGACTACACTGAAATTCTCTTCTTCAAAAGATGATGTTGGGAAAGCAATAAAATATAGTACCATAGAAAATTTTTAGGTGATTTTAAACTATGGTAAATTTCTAATAATTGCCATCTTATACATAGATGTCTTTTCATTGTACTGTCTACCTTCAGAACCTTTGCTAAAAATGATAATTAGGTGTAAAAATGATTGCAGTATTACTAAAGTTCCATCAGCAGAATAAAAAAAAATTCACTTATGAAATATCAGCTATTAGAAATTTACATTGGTTTAAAATTGTCAAAGACTTTTTCACAATATTTTACATTTATTTTGTTCCATAATGTAGAACATGTTGAAATGATTTTTGTGAACAAAATGATTGAAATTTGATTACTCGTGTTCGTTTTATTTTTTTTGAAAAAAAAAAAAAAAAAAAAGCTCCTGTGGTTCTGATATCACTCTGACTTCTTTTTTCTTTATTACCACCTTGATCATTTGCTTCACTCTCAGATGGATAGGGGCTATCTTATTTATTTTGGGAATTACTTGTTTATCTGATATCTCATTCTGATTCTGGAAGAGTTTGAACTGTGAATCTGATGTAAAGTACCCCTATTTTCTTTTTAGTAGGGGAGGCAGGGACTTTTTTTTTTTTTTTTTTTGTTAATTTTAATTTTTGTTCTTTTTTTGTCTTATTCTTTGTAAATTTTTATATTTTTTTGTTATTTTAAAAAATGTTTTTGTTCCTCTTATTGTTGCTGTTAATGGGCATGTGTTTTAGTTGAGAGTGTCAAATCCTGCAAGGAGAGTTAAACTTAAAATTTTGTTAAATTGTTGAGCTTCTCCTCCATCATTGTGGGACTACAGAAAGTATGTATTTTTTATAATCATTCTTTATACAAACAAAATTTTATACAGAAGCAATAAGACTTTTTTTTTATTCCAATGATGAAAATTCAGCACATTAGACTCAGTTAAGTTTGCTTGAATATTTTGTTGGAAAAGAAGTTTTTCTCATGTATTTTTGTAAGCCTTAAATAAAACTGACCACAATTTCTTCAAGGAAATTCATCTTCTAGAAAGTTTGCAAAAGTACTTAAAATTCAATTCACATCCTAAACCATACTCTTGCTTTGTGTCTATTTTTTATGCAATGAGCAGATCTTTTTTCATTAGGTCATAATGTCCATAGCTTTTAAAATACAGAAGCCTAAAAAGATCAAAAAAGACAAATTTATGTTTTTTTCATGGAACTAATTGTGTGGTGTTATGAAAACCTTAACTTTAGGTAATTAACTTGATAAAATAAACTCCTTTTTTCTTAATTTTTCCCAACTATATGTTAAATAGCAGGGTAGACTGACAACTTTAGCTGTCAGCCAGTCTAGGAGAAAGACAACTCTGAATTTAAAAAAAAAAAAAAGCTGGAGAAGACAGCAGACAACTGCTCCATTACTTTTGTGAGAATTCACAAATAACAAAGAGAAGAAATCTGTGGAAATCCATGGTCACCTTTGCCCTGAAGGCACACATGCATCCCATAACCCATGAGGGTCGTTGGGGCATTACATGTACTGTAGCCATAGCAGCAATAGATGTGTCTAGGACAAGTTAGCCTGACTGAACCCATCTTTTTCAGGATGTTTTTAAATTCCAAGTTGTCCTTCTGTTAGATTAGTTAACAGACCAAGGTTGGAGAGCATAGTCATACCAAACTACTAAATCCATAGCTAGAAGGGGTAGGAGAAAAGATGGATTCATACCTTTCCTAAGGGCATTTGTGCAAAACTGGATGTGACAAACTCTATCAGAATAAATAAATTAGGTTTCTAATTTGGTATTATGTAGGCATTGTTAATTGACCCCTACACTAGCATGACTTCCACTTTTAAACTTTCATTTTCTCGAAAGTAATCAATCCTCAAAGAAATAAGTGCCATTTCCATATAAATACATTTTAAATATTAATTTTAACTTCACCAAATCTTTATCAATAGATTTTAGTACTCAAGTCGGGTTTTAGTCAGAAAGACTAACTTACAAAGTGACGGAATATATGAACAGATTTTTATTGTTTAGCTGAAGTTATAAAATATGATTTAATATTCTTTCACCAAATGATGTTGATTCTGAGTGTTATATTAATCAGTAAGTAATTAAAAAAACAAAAACCTATCATCAACATTACAATGTCTTCTGCTAATCTTGTGATAATGAAAATCTCGTTTACAGAAGTTATCCAGAGAGAAAGAGGTAGAAAATGATTGAGAAAGATGTTTTTTTTAATAAATTGAGAGAGGTGTGCAAGAGTAACAGAGATAAAATAAGTAAAGAATAGGAGATGGATAAAGCACTTTTCTATGAGAGGAGGAGGAGAGAATAAATGAGAGAGGGGTTAGTTCGGAGAGAAGAAGAAGGAAGAGGAGTAAGTGCATGAATGCATTTGATCAAGAAATGAATTAGGAAGAGAGAGAAATCCAGAAAAAGAAAGAAGACTGAGAGAAGAGGAAAAATAAAGAATGTGAGAAAGTATTAGTCTGAGAGAGGAGGAGAGGGAGAGAGTGTCAGAAAGTATTTGTCCGAGAGAGGTAGAGAGTGTTAGAATGTATTAATTCAAGAGAGGAGGAAAGTTAGAGATTTTGAGAATGTATTAATTCAAGAAAGGAGGAGAGTTAGAGAGTGAGAATGTATTGGTCCAAGAGAGGAGGAGAGATAGCATAAGAATGCATTTATGCGAGAGAAGAGAAAAGAGTATAAGAAAACAATTTGAAGAAAGAAAGTGGGGAAAATGAATTAAAATTCAGAACAAACAAAATTTTGGTACAATAAAACTTTTGCATAGTCTTATGTCAAAGAATTTTTACCTTGAAGAACTGCAGTCATTCGGACTCTAGATGATAATGTTCTCCGATAGTTTTAAAATGAATATCATTTACTGCTACTACAAATTGAAGTGAACAAAATCAGGAATAATATTTTGTGAGATTTGCCTCTCAGTGGCGTTGGAAATGATTGTGGCACACGGGTGGGTGTACTTTACTAAGCCCGAGTTCTTTTAACAAAAACAAAAACAAAAAAATAACAACAAAGATTGTAGGATTCTTCTTGCTGATTTGATTAATTAATTTCAGAATCTATCAATTAGTTCTTGAAATTTACTAATTACTTTGAGAATATATTTGTGGCCGTCGGCAAGCGCCGGCCATGTTGCCATTTTAATCATATGCTTTTCATAATGTTTCATAAAGCAATAGAAGCTTAGGTACAAATTGGTTTTAATTGAATAAAGATTAGGATCTGAACATCACCAAACATTTCACAGAGCTTACCTCGAAAAAAGAACATTTAAAGCAAGGTTTGGGAATCTAATCGTTTGTAATCCCATTTTGTTGTCTTAATCTACTCAAGGCTATAAGTTTTATCTTGAGGCTCCCATCCAACGCCACCCTGTTATTTAATTTTTTTTTTTCCTTTTGCCAAAACAAGATCTAACGTTGGAGAATTTCAGTTAAGGGGTTTATCCGTGGAGAAAAGGTTAGAAAAGAGAAGGGAGAGAAGAAAGAGGGAGGTGTAAAAGAGTGTGAAAGAAAACAAAGTAATTTAAAGAGAGTCTGACAGAGGGGGAAGAAATCGAGGTTGCATGAGAGAGAGAAGGAGGGAAAAGGAGAATGAGAGAGAAAGTTAAGGAAAGAGAAACTAAAGGAGAAAGAAAAGAGGAAGAAAAGGAATTTTAAAAGAGCATATAAAGAGTTAAGTGCATGAGTGAAAGGAAGTGAAATAAAAGACAACTAAAGGAGAGAGAAAGAGATGGATTGGAAGAAAGAAAAATAAAAGAGATTTAAAGAGAGTGCGTATTGAGAGGAAAAGCTGAATGCGTGATGGTTAATTGAAAGGGGAAAATGAAAGGAAGAAGAGAAGATCTGGAGAAAACAAAGTAATTTACAGAGAGTGAGTGTGAGAGAAAGTAACTAAAGGATGAGAAACTGAAAATAAGAGAGAGAAAGATGTGGAGAAGAGAAAAGGCCAGGGGAGGAAAAAAGTTAAGAAAGCAGTTGGTAGACAGAGTAGGAAGAAAAAGAAAGAAAGATGGAGAGTTGGTTAATAAGTGATTCCATTAGAGTGAGAAAACCCAGAATCGAGAAAGGTGTAGAGGAAAATTTTTGAAGAGCAACGTTGATAGAAAATTAAATGGAAGCTGAGGAGAGGAATTGAATTGAGAGAGATAAAATCTATATAAGTTCATATATAAATGTTAGAGGCATTATCCAAAGAAGGTGAAAGAGACGTCAGATGAAAGTCATTGTACATAATATTAGGCATAGTTAAAAGGGTGGGTTGAATTAGGAAGATCATAATTAACGCAAGGATCATGCCAAAATTAATAACAACTCAATCACACAAAGTCTATTTTATAGAGTGGGAAATGATGCGTGTATTATATATTAAATTAGAGAAAGACGGACAAAAGAAAGGAAAACTAGTGTAAATTAGATGGAGGAAGAAAGATGAAATTTTAAAGAGTATGTGAAAGTAAATCAAAGAACAAAGAGAAAATGAAGAGAATAAAAGTTAAGAAACAAACAATGGCAGCTCAGAGCAAGAAAAATGTGTGTTGTGAAGAAAAAGGAGGGATTACTAAAATAGGCAGAGAAATGGGAAGCTGAAGAGATACCAAAAAAAAAAGGAAAAAGGAGGGAAAAATAGTTGAAAGAAAGAAAATCAGTTGAAAGAGAGGAAAACTGAGCAATGGAGAAAGAAAAGGTTCAGCTGAGCAAAGGAGAAAGAGAGGGTTCAGCTAAGCAAACAAAAAAGAGGGTGTTCAGCTAAGCAAAGTTTCAGAAAGAGAAAAAGTTCAGTTGAGCAAAGGAGAAAGAGAAAAAGTTCAGCTGATCAAGAGATAGAAAGACTTTGTAAAGAAGTACATAAAAAGAGAAATAATGGAGCAAAAAGGCAACATCTCAAATGAAGAATTAAAAGGAAGGAAAGAAAAAGAGATGGTCAGGTCAGATTTACAAACAAAATTATTAGCAGCTCTTTCCTTGTTCATTGGAAAAAATGTAATCAGGAAAACTAGAAAGAGACTCAAAAGGGTGGAATTTGAGAGAGAGAAAGAGATGAAGATGGGTGAGTGAAGTGGTGGGGAGGGCTGATCAAAACCTGAAATGCTGTAACAAATATTTCATCAACGGAAAATCAAGAAAGAAGATCAAATCTAAGAATACCTACGAATTTTTCCAATTTATCCTTATCTATTTTCAACCATCTCTCTTTAGATTTTAAATTCCTTTTCCGAAAATTTTACGGCTATAAATTTGTTTTACTGTTTTTGTCACTATTTTCCAGGAAGTTTCTATCGAATTAATACTGAAAAATATTTAAGCAATTTATTTATTAAAAATCCGACTTTGGTGATACATGCCTTTGGAGCAAATTTGATCGTCAAGTGTGTCAGGTTGAGAAACTGTCATGAAGTAATAATAAATCGAGCCTTATTTTAGAGAGGATATAATTTAATAATAAGCTAGTTTGGATCAGTTTTCTGTAGATCAAGGGACAGGTGAAAATTGCAGACATTTGTATGAAAAACTGTTCTGAGTTCCAGATCTTCCGTTTTCTGTTTTCTTTCATTTGGATCTTAATCAGCAGTTGTTGTTCATAGAAGTAAGTATCACTGAGAGAAAAATTTCAAACTTTTATTATTTAGCAAGAATATAAAAAGAAGTTGTTCATAATTGACTTTGTGTTTGATATAGGTGCATATTTCTAATCTATAGTACAGTAGCCAACTCACTATTTTAAAATAAGTTAACTCAGATGACTAATAAGATTAGAAAATTTAGAAACACTTCAATTTCAAATATAGTTCAATTCGCTGCCTGACAATACTGCTTGGAGATCATCAATATTTGATTAACAAGTAATTGTATATTAAATGGGTTAACATATTTGTTTTACAACCAAATTATAAACAGCTCACTCACTTGTTTACATTAGATTCCCTATATTGTACGTTGGGTTGCTAGATTGGGCTATTTTTGAAGACTCGCTACTACTGAATTTTGTATTTTGCTTCTCTTAGGGACTAATTTTAAAAATAAGTTGGGTTAATTTGGTTGGTTGGTTGATTTTGTTTAGCGGCATATCAACCTCTATGGGCTATTTAATGCCAAAATCTAAATATTTTGAACACAATTTTGTGGCATCAATTACAGATAAAAATGTGTTGTTGGTCATTTTATTATAAATTTGTACAGGAACCCCTTCAATTAGTGTGGCTAATGTGTACATCCATGACTATAAAAAATCAATTTAAAACATTTTTCAGTTTGACCATAGTAATTGACTATGGTCAAACTGAAAAATGTTTTACCGCATTAAGTGTGTAATATATATGATCTAATCAAATTTTGGGATATAAAAATTTTAGCACACTATTTGAAAAGGCATTATTTGAGGGATACCTGTATTGTTGGGCATTTTTTTTTATATAAAAATATATTGCTGGTATTTTTACTATAAAAGTGTATTTTTATACTTTTATAATATTTTGTTTTTGTTTATCACAGTACTATTTACCCACAGCTGAGACCTTAACAGGTGCTACTATCCCAGGGTTAGCTTGGGTAATTAACAAGAAGAAAGTCAATTCAAACAAGTGGATATTAAATGGAATTGCTTTTGTTCTTACAACCAAGTTTTAAGCTAGGAATGTCTACAGTTTAAAATTACAGCATTTTATACAACTTAAGACTGTTATTGCTACTGTAAGTAGGCATAAGTAATTATATTAGTGTTGGTAATAGTCTGAAATTGTGTTACAATAGAAAGCTTTGACAGGAGATTGTCTTTTTGTCAGGTGACCAATGTGAAGCTAATTAATCCTATCCAACAGTGTGAGACTAATTATTGGTGATAGAAGGCAGATAAAGACAATGTTCACATTTAATTGTCAGCTAAGTTTACTATATCAAGTTTCAAGTAATGAATTGAGCAATATTTGAAAGCTTGGCTTCACTAAATTTTGAATTTGCTTCCTGTCCCTTGTGTGGGTACTTTTTAAAATAACTGTGCTAACTTTGCCTACTCATGAGAAGAAAGTGAGTTAAAGATTTTTAAGTGCTTGCCTTTTTTAAATGTTGCCCAATTTGCAACTTCTGTTTCATTTAGCAACTTTACCTGGAGATCATGAACAAAAAAAATGAATATTAAATGAGGGATCACTTTTGTCTTTTTACAACAAAATTATAAGTTTAAACAGTGGCCTTACTTTTTGGCATCATTGATTCAATATATTTCTCTACACTAGAAAATATACTCATAGTTAGGGCTGCCAAACTTGACAACTACTGAAAGCTCAGCTTTCCTAAATTTTAATTTTCATTACTTAAGATTTGGAGTGGAGGTCTACTTCTTAAAATAAACTGGTCAAACTTTAACATCTAATAGTTTTTCCCAATGTGGACTAATTCATTACTTGTCCAATCTGGAAATACAACTTTCAGCCCAAGTTATCAAAAGTTTTCAGTACCATTTTGACAACATCAGGTTGGAAAAAACTTATAAATAACTTACAAATGGTTGAGAAACTATAGAAAAAAAAATCAATCACTTAAGGTACATGAAATAATCCTTAGAGTCAATGTTGGTAAAAAACAAAAATACTTTTGTTACACTCATAATAATAATAAAAGTAATAATAATAGTAAACAAGAAATTATTCAATCACTTACTCTACATGGATGATCTCAAACTCTTTGCCAAAGATGACAATGAGTTGAAAGGTCTCCTCAATATTGTAAAATGTTTCAGTGATAATATTGGTATGGATTTCAGATTAGATAAATATGCAAAAGTAACATTCAAGAAAGGGAGAATTACAGAAACACACTCAATAGATCTAGATTTTGTCACAAAGATTAGGGAGCTGGAACAAGAAGAAGCCCTAAGAATTAGCAAAGAAGATGGAATATAGCATAACCAAATGAACGAGAAAGTAAGAAAAGGATACTACATACATGTGCATCTGGTATTAAATACTAAGCTGAAGTCAAAAAACAGAATATTTGTCATAAACACCTTGGCTCTCCCTGTGGTGTAATATAGTTTCAACATCCTTAAATGAGCCATAGCTGACATTAAATGAATGGATGCCAAAACAAGAAAGCTTCTCACTTGCCATCGCATGCATCATCCCAAGGCTGATGTTGATCATCAGTCTGTGCCCAGATCCAAAGGAGGTAGAGGATTAGTTCAACTAAAACTGTCTTACAAAACTACAAAAATCAGCCTTCAAAGATATCTGGAAACTACAGAAGACTGGATGATGATCTGTGTCAAAGAACATGAAAGAAGTAAGAAATTTTATTCAGTAATAAAGGAAGCCAACAAGTTCAAAATGAAGTTTCAATTGGGTGAAGAAATGCAAGTAAAACTTAATGCACCTACTGCAGCTGCAAAAATCTTAAAAAAGGATGCAAAAGCAAATACAATTGAGCAGATACAGAAATAATGGCAGGATAAACCTCTTCACAGTCAATATTCTGCCCATATCAAACAAGCTGATGTAGACAAACCTTGTACCCATCAGTGGCTATGTAGTGCAAGGTTAAAAAGTTAAACCAAAGGTTTTATTCTTGTTACACAGAACCAATGCTTGCTAACTAGAAATTACTAAGCACACATACTGAAAAATTGTGTTAGCCCAAAATGCGAATTCTGTGATAAATACCCAGAAAAAGTTCACCATTTTGTATCAGGTCAGACGGTATTGTCACCTACAGTATATAGAACCCAGCATGACAGAGTGCACCAATATCTGCATTGGAAAATCTGCAACTTTTACAGAAAGGAAACTGCAAGAAATTGGTATGAACATCACCCAGACCAGTTACAGAAATAGGTCTTGTCAGAATTTTATGGCACTTTAAAATACACACAGACAGAACAATCAAAAGCTAATCGCCTAGACATAATGATCAGAGAATAACAAAATATGCCTTCTTATTAATATGGTAGTCCCTGCAGACTGCAATGTATCTTGGAAGATCTTCAAAAAACTATCAAAATACAAGGACATTGAAATCGAAATCTCAGAAATATGGTATATGAGAACATCAACAATTCCTGTTGTAGTTGGAGCCCTCGGATTGGTTGGAAAAGATTCCAGTAAACACATTAAAGGGATCCCTGGAAGCCCATGTCTTAAAGAAATATAAAAAATTGTTCTCATGAGTACAGCTCACACTTTGAGAAGGGCTTTATCTATTTAAAATATCTGTGATCTTAGGTGTTTGTTTTTTTTTTCCCCTCAAAAAATGCTCAGTGGAAAAGGTTAAGATGCTATTTCTGACCTTAGGTCTCTGGTTGAGACCTTGAAAGAAATGAGTATATACCAGAAATCAAAGAAAATAATAATAATAATAATATAGTGGTGTCATAGTTTGTCTTTAGATGTATACATGAAAAAGATTTGGAACAATGCACTGGTAAAAAAAGAAAATACTTTTGATACATTCTAATATATAATAATAATAATAATATAGTATACTTATAGTCTTTAAATGCAGATATGAAATAAGCTTTGGAGTAAATGTCTGAAAAATGCAAATACTTTTGTTATATTCTAATATATAATAACATAGTGGCATCATACTCATTAGATGTGCACATGAAAAAAGCTTTGGAGTAAAGGTATGACAAAAAAGAAAGTACTTTTGATACTTTCTAATATATAATAATAATAATATAGTGTTCTTATAGTCATTAATTGTGGAAATGAAATGAGCTTTGGAGTAAATGTCTGTAAAAAAATGAAAATAGTTTTGATACACATAAATAAGTACATTGCAGTCTTTCATAAACTTCAAGTGGGTTAATTTTTTCTGAATTTTTATTTTGTCTATTTTATCAAGGCAGCAACATAGAATTGTATTGAATTTCTAAGAGAAAAGACTGTAATTAATTCAGTAAACCTCACTTAACGACTTCTGAGATATTTATAACCTTATGCTATATTAAGAGACTTTAACCAAATGCTTGTAACATGAC